ACTTAAGGGTAAAGCTGATTTTGTTAAGATACTTGTACTGATATAACGTGCAATGCATTGCCTGAGTTAAGCCTAACAATGGATCCTATACTAATGCTACCAAATTTATTATTTAGAGGCATGTTTTTTAAGTTAATAATTCCAATTTTTTGTTCGCTGGCATCATGCATACTCCAAGAAAACCCCATTCTCTAACTTTGCTGTAAGATGCATTAGGATCAGCTCAGCCTCCTATGTAAATTAACATTTTCTCTTTTATTTTCCGAAGTTTTATACAATTCTATTACCAAAAAAAAAGCCAAACCAGAGATGCTTTATCTAATATGCATCTGGTCATATATGTCAAATGCCTAATTTATTTTCACTTATAACTGTCCATTTGTGGTGATATTCTTAAATAGTGTTTTTGCAAAGAGCTGTATCAAGAACGTACTAAGAATATCATATTAAGGAAGTTTTATAGTACTGGTTTTTGGGTTTTTTTTTTCCCCTAGAACCTTTAGTTTTAACCTTTGCCTAAGAGATATTTCAAGCTTGTTCATTGTTTCTCATTATTGGTACTGAATACAAAAGTCTTGAGAATGGTTCATCAAGATATTCACACTAGTGGTGGATGTCACAGTAATAGTTATTAGAGAGTAATCTTGAAAACTTACCTGCAGATTCTCATACATTTCAAGTATATTTTTCTTCAGCAAAGCTCTGTCATTTTGTTCTTGTTTCCTTTGTTCCAAAGCCAGCTCTCGAAGTTCCTTAAAATGCTTGATTTTTTCTGCTTTATGTATCTCTTGCTGTTGAATGATAAACTCATTTCTCAGCACAGGCTCTGACATTGTTTTTCTGAAGGAAATACAAAGATATTTGTCTTATTTCAAATACAGGTTTGGGTGGTGTATATTTTGCTTAACACCTATATGCATATATTTAGCTTATATACTGCAATGTCACCATCGTATAGTTAGACATGGTTAAGGAGTCACACTTCCTCTGCTTATATATATAACACTGATGCACAAGTACATTCCTGAGGCCAGGTCTTCTTATACTTGAATGCCTACTTTAAAAATATTCATAAAATCATGCTCATCTTTAAGCATATGAAAAACTCCTACATATGACCCTTATTTTTAATTTCAAGGAACGTATTTCCAGAAGATTTTGATATTATAATTCAGCATCAAGACAAATGTATTTTTATTTTTGTTTTTTGCCGTGGCATAATGGCAGCTAAGTGGATAATACATTTTTATAATTGACTTAAATGACTAGTGTAAAAGTCAAGGTGTTGAAGACAAATGAAATGCTTACAAGACTCAAGCCTGTGGAAATATTCTGCCATATTTTCTACTGTTTTAATGTTACTCACTTCAATATAACACCAGTTTCCCATTCAATTTAAGATTAAATTTGGAGATTTTTCATCATGGTCTAATGTCTTTTGAAAATCAATGAGCTGCATAAATGCCACATTGAATACAAACGAGCTTAAGCATGAACTAGTTCTACCGGCAGCACAGCAAACATGGTGCATACATATTAGCTAGGCAAGTTCACACCAACACAAGTAATAAAGAACACAGATTTTTTAATAAAGAATATAGTTAATATAATTATTTCAGGTATTAGCTATTATTATTAATTGAACTTCATTTGTCAAATATATTATTTGAATCTAGCATCACATCTTGGCAAACTTCATATGCACTTGCTTTCAAGATGACCACTGAAATCAATGTATTAGCCTGCATGTTCATTTTCTTCAAATTTTTATGTCACATACTCATTACATGCAGTGCAGTGATTCATCTCCTTTGTTCTGTGCTACGTTAAGGAAAGGACATAAATTATAAATGGATATAGGAAAGCTCAGATTTTAAAACACATCCATGCCAGGAAAACTAAAGCTGAAAACTGTATCTTGATGCCATCTACACTTCTGTGTTCACTAATGAGTGATTGTGTGTAAACAACATAAAGAGCAGATTAAACGTGGGCCAGGATTTTCACAGCAACTTTAACAAGCATATGACAGAACTGTAGCTCACATCAATGATATGTGAAGGATAAAGTCTAAATTCACATCTAGTATACTGCATCCAATTACAGACAGCATACAAGTGCATAAAATCTATTGCGTTTAGTAATGTCTACATATGAGAATCTTTAGCCAGTCTTTCATTTTAGTAGTTCACTGGGAGTTAATTGTTCTTGCTGCAGTTTACCTCATGTAGGGACTAAGGTCTATAGGCTCCCATTTGTTTTGCTGTATTTGTAAGCTTGAATCAGTATCTGCCTGTGATGTTTTCTTTCCTGTGGTAAGAGAATCTGCAACGGAACAGATTAAACTGGTTAATCGGTTATGACAGGAGGCTCCATCTAAATTATCACATCATTGTTTTTTTCTTTTCACACAGCAGAATACATTATTAAATGAGAATATGGGTTGGAGGGGATATAATATTTCTGCCTTTTTACTTTGAACAGTCATGACAGAATTAAAGATGCTGCAAAAACCCCACATATGCTAGCATGAAATTAATATATGTATTTTAGCTAAATCCACAGTACTTAAAAAGGTTTGTAAATCTAAGCAAGAATAACCAATTTCAAGTGTCTAGAGAATTTAAGAACAACTTCTAATCAGCAAGGAATTATTTTCTTTAAAAAAAACCCAAACAAAACAAAACCACAAAATAACCAAAACACACACACAAAAATCTGTTCAGTTCTGGTTGTAGTTTAAAAAAAAATTATATTCCTTTTGGGCAGAGATTTAGTTTAGGAAATACCAGTCTAAAGAAAAAAGGTCCCATGACAACTTAAAATTGTCATTCTGAAGCCTCAGAATTTCTTTAACCACGCAGACAGTAACCATGCTATGCTTTAACGTAGCATTCTCACAATAAGATAACACATCTGGTGCTAAGCATGTTGTTGTACTGTGATTATTCCAATGCTTCCTTCTTTCAGTTCATCTGGATATGCTGAAAATGCTTGTGAAATGTGATGAGATTTAATGATGACTGCAGTAGTTTGTTTCCATAAAAACTCTCTTTTACCCTACTTATAGTAGTAATCACTTGAAACATTTAAAAAATATTACTGCAATTTTCTCACAAAAAATAGGAAAAAATAGGAAAATGGTTTTTGAGCATTAAAAAAATTTACACTCTCTGTATTTACTGTCTATACTTAGACAAATATACCAGGCGCCTTTGCTGGTCTAGAAGGGTGGCATGGACTTTCAAAGTGCCTTAGACACTGCCCATCAGAAAAACATTCTCCAGAATGTAAGAATTCTCGAGAAGATACTGAATAACAAAGCACATTATTGCCTATTGCTGCACTTTATGGAACCAACCCAGAACAACTTCAAGTTAATGGGTACTTAGTTTAGAACAAAGCTCTTGGTAGATAACCATGAATTTTGAAGTCCTTACCCAGTAGCTTAGAGGAAATAGTACTTTTTCAAGTTCCTTTGGAATGCAAGAAGTAACTAACGACGTGTTTGTCTAAGGCCTAAGGTGAGGATGAGTTCTACTTTAAGTTCTGAAACATTTCCAGAAGGATTACTTACCTGACAGGCAAAACACTAATCCTAACAAGTTGTCTACTGGTCACAGGTTCTAGTTCCATGTACCGGAGCCATAACCAGATATTGTCACAATCAGACAGGGTACTATACTTTCCTTTTTGTGATGGTCTGCTGTCTGCATTATTCTCAGAAGAACAGAAACAACAAACAGCCATGCACCCTTGCACCCAGTTCAGATTTTCATCAGAGTCTAGTAATTGCCACAGAATACAAAAGAAGAGTCCATAGAAGTTGTAACCATTAAATAAAATTAGACAACACTTATGGAAACTGCCAGGAAGCTGATGCTACTCAATACGCACATTCTGACATCTTGTTTCCAGAGCACTGTCCATAAACAGTTTCCATGGGCCTTAACAATGAATATGCCCATTAGAAGTACTAGTGTCTTACTGACATAGTATTTCAGCTCCTAAGCAATTATTTAGTATTTCTACACCAATGACCACACTTGGAGTTGAGGGAGTAGGTATTTTCCAGTGAACTTCCAGAAGTCCCAGATTATTTTAGGGTTAGAATTCTAGTACAGAAGGACTGCCTAAAGTTTGCTTAGGGACAACTTGGCAGCCTCCAAGAGCTGTGAGGCTGTATCTGTGTCCAAAAATAGAACAAAGCAACAATTAAAACAAAGATAGAAAAGATAAGAGACTAACAATGCCATTATGCATTTGGACACCTTTTATTGGGGCTGTTCTGTCCATTTATTACCAGTATTTAATGCGGAAGTCTTTTCTAAAGAGCTGGACAGGACGAACATGATGAATTGAAGACATGCTTGACAGAAAGTTGTACCCTTACCTCTTTCTCCTGAACTAAGTGTTACACTGGCAGTCTCAGTCTCATCTGTCGGCTCCTCTGAATCTCTCACAGCAAACTTATTAATAAACCGCATGCGTTCCTGAAAAGCCTAGAGAACAAAGTTTTAATCCAGGTAAGAAAACTTCCACTGCATACTTTAAATCCTAAAGAATTTTCAAAAGTAGAAATCTGTAAGTGGTCAATAAGACAGTAAATCTTCAAATCCATTGCATGTGAGATATGATGCTACTTCATATTGCTGGTGAGTATATTTCATTGACCTATGAAAATATCAATTCTAACAACAGGAATACTATTAGTGAATCACTGGTGTGAGAAAAAGATACACATAAGAGGACCACATTTCATGTCAGAGTCATATTCAAGCCACCTCTCCAATAGATTACTTTTTTTTTTCTGAAATAATAACCTGTCAATATTAAACATCCAATTTTTCTAATAATATTTTGGAACATTTATTTGTTTAGTTTTAATGTGTTGTGCAGAGGAGAAATAAATTAGCATTAGTACTTAAAGTTCATCTTTAATTTCTATTAAGCGTGTCATGCGTATATGAATAAGAACTCCTAAGTAAAGCTTTGTGAGATGGTAGTTCAGTAAAATGAAAAGTAGGGAGTACACTTTGAATGCTTCATGCCAGTCAATGCATACTTAATTTAGTACACATCCCATATGAGGAAAAGATGCTGTCAATAACAAACCTAACACCAGAATGCAGTATGCAACTCTGCCTGGGGCTGGAATCAGAAAAGATGTTATGGTTCCCATTGAATTAGTCCTGAGGAGTTGAATACTTATAATCAAGACCTTCATATAGTGGAATACTGAAAAATCACTGATCTCTGGGCAGTTTAAAATATTTTTTGGATTTAATAAAAAACCCCAACAAGCTACTACCCCCCCACCCAAAAAAACAAAACAAAACCAAACCCAACAAAAACAACAAGGAAAAAAAACCAACCCGGCCCCCCCCAGCACCACCCCCCAAAAAGCTGAACGTATGGTCAGAAAACATTCACCAATAGCACCTTCTTAGGGAAATACCATTTCCTCCTAGGAGCTCCTGAATTAGTATTGCTTCTCCAAAACAGTGAATTCATACAGAGCAGCCTGTGCAGACTCATGAGTAACCTGCAACCCAGAATGAATTTAGGAATCCTGGCTGCAGGGACAGTTTGAGTGATGATACGGCCAGATGTCAGTTCTTCAAGAGAAATCTTTTTGGCATGTTTGTAACAGTGTATTTCATGAATCTGTTCATGCTAAACATTAAACACTTCACAAGTAGCAGCTCTGCAATTGTGTAAAGGTAATGGGCTTTCTAAGGAGAAACTTTGTTTTGTAAAGTAGAATCCAAAGTCTCAGTGATCTACAGAAGTCTAAAGTAGGTGGTCTGGATTCCTGCATAGAATTCATGCACATAATCACTTTCGATTCTTTAAACTGTGTAAAATTTCCTGTCTTCCACAGAGTGGTGAAGAGGACAGCCATATGAAGTCAGGTCTCTGTTGTGGCAGCTGCTCTACCATCACAGCAGCTCCTGGAACTTGTGAAGAAACATCACTACAAAGACTGCACTCTGATATTACCTTGATAGCTCTTCCTGGCTCTGCAGACTCCCATGCTTGTTTCATGGCTTTAATCTCATCTGCTCGCTGTGTGTCTTTCTTCACCTCCAGAATGTCTGCCTCTCTCTGTTCACTAACTAGACGTAATGTCCAGTATGGTTTGTTTGAAGCAGCTTGCTGGCAGTGAAGTATCATAAACATAATATATTCATTAGTATACATCTACCACCACTATTTAAGATGAAGGTATGTTTCTGTATCCTGGTAATTTTCCTAACTGATACACATTTTCCATTGATAGACTTTGAAACGAATTACTACACAACCAGTGGTTGACAAAGGAAGGTTACTTGGCAATGTCTAGAAGCAATTTGAGGTATTTTGTTTACATGCTTCCCTCCACCCTTTTGCAGCATGCTCCACACTTCCAGTTCTTCTGAATAGTCTATCTGAACAAAAATATTTTGCAGTGATTTTTCATGCAATTGTCTTACCTTCCTGCCTTTTTTCCTTTTCTCCCCTTCTTTCCATTCCTTCCTTCTGTAAGCTTTTTACTATAAGTCTTACTACATTTAACTAGGCTTTTTGTCTAGAAGTACATCTCACTGTCTTATGACGCATGAGGATTTTTCCCAATCACTTCCCAAAATCTCTAAATCACCTTAACACATAGCTTCTCCATAACTGCGGAGTACAAATAGTGCCTGAAATCTAGGAGACTATTCTGCTGTTTGATGAACGAGACATTGTGCTGCATATATTTCTGGAAGCTCTACCATCTGCAGACGCTTTAAGTCTAAGATTTAGAAGTAAAGACAGGAGTTCAGCTTTTATTTGAGACTACAGGTGAGCATCTTCTTAATCTGTAAGCAGTCCCATCTCTAAACTTGCATCTGTTTTAGAAGCAGCCTGAAGAACTCCCAAGAACCAACATCCCAGAACCCCTAGCAGACCCCATAGTTGGAGCTGAAATCTGGCACAGCCTCAATCTGCGTTGCATTTCTGTGGCCAACAATCTCAACCGCAGCCACTCAGACTGCTCAGAAAGAAGGGTTATGGCACTGTTCTGGAACTCTACATAGTTAGGTGTGGATATGAATCACAGGGAAGTTTGCTGAGCAGCAGGTTTAGTCACCAAAACAATTCAGTAGGGATTTCTTATGAAAAACTCCATGGAGATGCCCTCCCCTTGAACTACCTGCCATGAGGCAGCAAAATTCATGGCAAAAGCAATACCATTAAATGAGGAGCTATCGGTTTCTTCTTTGCCTTCCATTAATCTGTTCGCAATCCATAAAGTCAGTTATTCCTTTTAAGACATACAGGCTGCAGTAGCCTTTCAGTCAAGCACAGAACACTCATGTTATCCCACCACAGATGAGAAGAATTTGCAAGTAGGTAACAATTTTTCTAATGCTGTATATCTTTAAGCTAATGACAACTGTGACGTACGAGATGGGAACTGACTGTAGTGGAAAGACCTATTTCATCTCCCGGGGAACCCATGCAAACTGCTACAGTGAGGGACCAATGGGACATGAATATGGTGAACTAATGGAATTTAATAAACCTTCAGCAGAGACTGAAATTAGGTCAACAAAAAGAACAATTAAGAGCTGCTTTATATACAAACAAAGAAATGAGCAATTACATCTCTAAACACAGGATGCATGTCTTTTACATGTGTAGTTCAACCTCAGGTGTAAAGCTAAAAAGGTGGCAAAGCAGGGCATAGAGAAATGAAAGGGGATACGCTAGAAGTGCTAGTAATACTGATCTGCAGAACTGAAAAGATCTTTACGCTTGGTACAATGATGGCACATTCAACAAATGCAATTTTTGGTTTTGTTCTCACCTGAGATTCAGGTGGAGATACAACAGATAGAACTGATCCTTTTCTTTCTTTATTGGATTTCTCTTTTTCTGTCTTCTCAGGTGCTTTATCTTTTGTTTTTCTGGTTGTTTTATGAAAACTTGCAGACTTATGTACTTCAGAAAGATTGAGCGTTAGAGGAAAGCTATGCTCCCCATGCTTTTCCCCATGTACTATTCAGACGTGGTTATGATGTATGATGAATTAGAGGATCCATTGTCATCCATAAATATATTTCCCCATATAATATCCAGGGTGGAGTAACAGCACAAAACAACCATACAGAAAGACAAAGAGAAGTCAGTTAATTAGTTGACACTTTGAAGTACTACACTAACATTTATTGCGGGACCAAGAAAGAATGTGGGTACAAAATAACTTAAAAACAGACTTGCAAGGTGGATATATTGTGACAGCTTTATCTGTCCTAAACAGCACTTTACCCAGGGCTTAAATATGAATTTGCCATGGTCCCTGTGCACCTGTTACTGCATTGTTGCCTTGTGCATGGGTCAGTCCAAAGATGGCAATGTACAGAATCACAGTCTGACTCTTACTTTTTTAATATAGTCTCATACAATCTCTGTCAGTGTTATGCACTAGGCTGGTCAAAAGCACAAAATAGGTAAAAGTTACTGTTCTTACTATCTTATATCCTTATAAGTCTGAAAGTGTGAAGAGCAGAACGTAAGGTATGCCCCACCAAAAATGTGAGGAAGTTAAGACAAAGAATCATATTTGAGATTTGATGAATATTTAAGAAATTAAAAATTGTCATTCTCTGAACTATCTGAGAACATTTTGGATTAATTATTTTATGCTGTATGTATTCCATATGTCTGAATGAAAGACACTAAGAATTGACATTTGTAACACTTATTCTGCACTGTCTTAGCTGGGCAGAGTTGTTAACAAGACTTGTTGCATATAATACTCTTGTTAAATAAATAAATAAGCAAGTAAATAAATAAATAAATGAAGCAAGCCCATAATAGTGTATAGCTTTAACAGCGTAAGGAACATGTCAATTGAAACAACCTAGAAGGAACCCACAACACCGAGAAAGGTTAAAGATCTGAATTTGAAATCTCTGTTTCCCTCCAACTTCATACTGCTTGAAACATTAAACAAATGTTGAAAACCTAGATTTAGTCAGTACAATAAACTAGGGGATTTCTCTTATGAAAAAGAGGAAATAAGTGGCTGTTTTACAATTTGACAATAATAACAAGATACTTTCACTTAATGCTATGCTTTTCTAATTTCTTTCCACTGAAGACTGTGCTGCATGATTAATGAGCTTTGGACCAGATCTGCAATGTCATGGCTGAAGTTGTATGGATATATAAAATTGTAAATATTAAATATATCAAAACATATTCATAATATACATATAACTACACACACAAATCTGATATAAAAGTGTATTACATCATACATTATACATGTGTTTATATATATGAACTGCATTATTCCTCCTGATGCTACTTAAATAATGTACAATGTCACTGAAGTGCTACGCTTAAGTTGATTCTATGCTATCAAAGCATACATTAAAGAAAAAGCAATAATTGAAGAGGTCTCCACAAATATTGAAGATACTAAAAGAACGCCAGAGGAAATGCAAATAAGTTATAATATCATTACATAAATGGTTTTCCATTTAATTTCACATTATCATAACACATTAGCACCATAACTCAGGCTAGTGTACATGCATTATTTAGTGAATTATTAATTTTTAAAGATAAATTATTTACTGTTTAGAGAAACACTCAAGAGACATTCAGTGTTATTAGCTAAATGGTATCAGTCAAAGACTTTCTATGTTATAGGATACCACAAGCTTTGTCTGGTTTCTATAAATATTCTACAATTCTGAATTTTAACATTTTGATCCTCTGGACTTATTAATACACTGAGAACTAGTAAATAACAAACAAGCAAATGAAATGACAGGGCTAACATGAGGTACCCTGCTTTAACTCCAGAGGTCCTGCACCTGGGTCAGAACAATCCCAAGCACAACTACAGGCTAGGAGGAGACTGTATTGACAGCAGGACAATTAGGAGAAGGACATGGAGGTGTTGGTTGACGAAACACTCAACATGACCCAGCAGTGTGTGCTTGCAGCCCAGAAAGTATGCAGGGCTGCATCAAAAGGACTATGACCAGCCATTCTCCCCCTCTACTCCCCCTGGACTAGTCTGTTCAGCTCTGGGATCCCCAAAATAAGAAGGATGTGGACCTGTTGGAGCGAGTTCAGACGAGGGCCACAAAGATGATCAGAGGGCTGGAGCATCTCTCCTACAAAGACAGGCTGAAAGAGTTGGGCTTGTTCAGCCTGGTTAAGAGAAGGCTCCAAGGGAGACCTTATAGCAGCCTTTAAGTACCCAAAGGGTGCCTTCAAGATATCTGGAAAGGGACTTTTTACAAGGACATGTATGGATAAGACAAGGGGGAATGGCTTTAAGCTGACAGGGGATATTTAGATTAGACTCTTCACTGTGAGGGTGGTGAGACACTGGAAAAGGTTGCCCAGAGAAGTTGTGGACACCCCATCCCTGGAAGTGTTTAAGTCCAGTCTGAATGGGGCTTTGAGCAACCCAGTCTAGTGGAAGATGTCCCTGCCCATGGCAGCGGGGCTGGAACTAGAGGATCTTTTAAGGTCCCTTCCAACCCAAACTATTCTGTGATTTATGATTCCATGATATGAAGGCTTAGGGCACAATTCAGCTCCTTTAGCTAAAAGTTTGCTGCACTGCACAGGCTCCCCCAGCCCTCCTCCCTCCCTCAGCAGAGCAGACAGTCTCCCCAGTTTTGGGACCATCCCCCAGATATTCCTGGAGGGGCACTGGCTGCAGGCTGGCACTTTATCATGCAGCCCATAATATAGTTGACTCTGAGGGAGATGTGAATAGTTCCTCAGGCCTTTTCCAACAACAAAGTCAGGCAACTGCCTTGTATGGGATGTGATAAGAAGAAAGGCAGGGAGCTGATACAGAAAGTAAAAGGCCATTCCAGTGCACAGCTTACGCATCAATCATCACAAACTCTCAGTGGCAATCACGGTATATCTATGGTACCAAGAAAAGCTTGGGTATCACACCAGTTGACAGTGATGATAAACAGCTGGTATCAACTCTGAAAATTAGCTTCTCTACCATTTTCTATTATTTACTCAGAGATTCACTTAGTCTAATGCTGGAAGAGGCCACAGTGATCATCCAGTCTGATGTCCTGTGCATGACAAGCTGAATAATTACATTAAATGATTTCTATCTTAAATTTATAACTTCAGATTACAGATTCTGATACCACAATTCTCCTTTTCTTTTTTTTTCTTTCAGGCAAGAGAGACAGCTACCTCAGATTTATGAAACTCAGATTACTGAGAATGTATGTTATTCATACGTAAAATACAGAAGAGTCTTCTGAAGTTTTCTTTGAGAAGGTATTATGCTCCCACTATTTGAAATAGGCTCTGAGCATTTAGTGGGATTACCCAGTAGATGGCAGAAATTACTCCTACTTGTCCCATGAAAGACTCAGATTTGGTTAAGAAACAATCGATTAAGAAATTCAGATGTTGCTTTTCCTGTCTCTGACTGGACCTTCAGAAAGATTCTCAACAGATTGCAACATCAAGAATCTTTCCAACACTGGGATCATCCAGACATTAAGGTTGCATAAAAATACACCAGCAGAGGAGCAAACTACCACTGTGGTTGCAGTAGTAGAGTGGGGGTTTACAGCATGGCTTCAGGGTCTACAGATCTGTAAACTCTAGCACCATCAAGTACCCTCAGTGACCTACTTTTTGACTGAACACCAGGCAAGTGATGAATCACCACAGACAAGCAAGGTGGGAAAGAGAGAGGGAGCACTAAATACCCTGTGAAATTCTGCCCTTGGCATGAGCTGAATACCCTGTGAAATCCTTCCATTGGCATGACCCAGCAAGTTCTCCTGTGGGAAAAGAAAACCTGTGGGAGAAACGTTCTCAGCTCTGGAGTTAAAAAAAAAAAAAAAAAAAAAAAAGGAATATCCCAAAGGATATTACCAAGGATATTACCTCTACCTTTTCAAACCTGCCTCTGCTACCTGAGTTGGGCACCCTGGCTCTCCCTGCTCTCCCAGTTGGATAAACAGCCTTCTCCCATCAACACCTAATACTCTTGAGTTAGCTGAAGGCAACATATAAAGCATATGCTGCAGACAGCATTCAGCACACACTGATAATTCAATTTTGTGTTGTGACAGTTGCACAATAAAACTTCTGATCTTACTACAAGAAAAGTAAAACCAAAGAACCCCAAAAGGCAATAGCTGAAAGTCATATATACAAAACAAATCTTAAAATAATTTTAAATAATTTTGTTCACATATTCAACCAACTTAAAATGCTGTTAGCAGTTGCAAGATTGCCTGCTATTTTTTCCACTTTCAAACAAGAATTATGATCCAGGCCTCCAGGTTTTTCTAACTATTTTTCCATTGAAGTCCTGCCCCATTAACAGATCCCAATGGGGGGGGGGGAGAAAATAATAAATACTATATAAATAATAAAATATCTGGCACTTTCTAATTACTGTGTACTTGGGTTTTCCTGCTTAATGCCTTTTTAATGTTTTGTTTGTGCAATGTCTCTTTAATAAAACATTTAATGAGATTTCATATATAATAAATATGACTAAATATTAGTCATGAAATAACATTTGCTAACACGGTTCTTTTTAAAATTATTGCCAAACTGCACTATTAGGGATTTTGAAGAAATAAAACCCCCTAAACATCCACACATACAAAATTATCGTAGCATCTGTATGCCAGGGAGCTTACTTTCTTCAAAAATGCTCTTAATAAATATTTTTAATATCGGCGAATATTGACAGAATAGTATTATGGATCTTCATTTAAATGGGGACTAGTTTAAGACTTTAGTAAAGCTAATACAAAGCTGAAATACTCTTTTCCCACGATAAATTAGCTTTAATGCAAAACTAACTCCAGATGGCACTGTTGTCTTACATGAAAAAGTGATAACTGACATGCTGAAAATTTGTTGCAGGAATTTTCCACCTGGCTTATTGCAGCTTTCTTAAAAATCACACGGTGAGAGGATGCCTTTTTGGTTACACAGCAACACTGCTATTATGTGAATTGTGTGTTTGACAGCTGGTGTTGGCAGCTTTAAATGATAAAGCTCAGTTTTCAAATTGCTTTAATCTAGTTCACAATCAGAAAAAAGATTTAAAGATTCAAAGTTAAGAAAATTTAAGGGTATTAAGAAGTGTATATATATATAGAAGGAGGACAATGCAAATAATTTATCCTTATTTCATATTTGAAAAATTGTTTTATAAACTTTAATATTAATGATACAGGTAATTTAATGAATAGCAGAAAGTAGCATTTTAGGTTCTGCAGGAAACCTAGGTGTGAGAGCACAGGGGAATTAGCTGCATGTGCGCATGTGTGTGTGGTAAGTCTGCACCAGCAGCTGGAATAGGGCTGCAGCCTCATGAGCTGGTATGGGATCCAGGAGCCAGCTACTGTCAGGCTAGGTGTTTAAGTCCAGATGATGGAAGGATCCACCTTATCTACACACACATACACGTATATATACATATATATATATATAACCTCTCTAGTGGACTTCCATTCTGTTGAGCCAGAGAAGGAAGCAGGATGAGACCACTGGCACTGTCTGTGTTTGTGTGTGTGCTCTAGGTGTCTTTCTGTGACCCATGTGGCTGGCAATGTATGTATGTATGTATCCTGTGTGCATGTGCCTGCTGGGACTACACCTCCAGCATCACTCGTGGTTGGACGCTGAGTGGCAGCAGACTCACCTTTCTTAAGCTGTTTGACACAGCATGATAAATTTTTCTCTAACATAATTAAAATCTAGATCATAAGGAGAAACAAATATGAGATATTTATCTAATTTCTAGGATACTGACTAGTATTCTAACTGCTTTTAATGTGTGTTGGTCTGAGGGGGTTTTTTTTGTTTTGTTTTGTTTGTTTGTGTTTAGTGGGGGTTGTTTTGTTTTTTTTTTCCCTATCCCTTAATGAGAAATGCCAAGAGAATCTATTAAAAAAAGAAAAGGTTCTTTAATTCCTCTGTCCCCTTCCTGGCTTGAATACACAGCCTGTCCTTAGGGCCTTTCCTAGTCTTGCCTCCTTCCTAAGCTCTTCTCCTAGTAGTACAGAAGTAATACATATCCTAAAACAGGCCTTTTTTTTTTTGACTCTTGTCAGTGCATTTTCTGAAATTATCAGCAGGCGTGTTTCTCTAGTTTCAGGAGAAACTTCTGTGTTTGGATGTACTTTGTCAAGGTGCTGTGTTTTTATATTACACTTCATCAGTCTCTGATTGTAGAAGCAGTCATACTTCTGTAGCTGTTCTAGATCCCTACTTAAAGTTGAGCCCTAAGAAACTCAGGTGAGTTTTGCAGCAAATTCTTTGATTTCCTTATAATTTGTGAACTGAAGATATAGAATTATGCAATCAAACTTCATTTCTATGAACCAAAGAATGAACAGCTTTGTTGCTTAATTATTTCCATCAAGTAGTGAATAAAAGAAAAAAACCATATGGTTGTGGCTTGTAGAAATACAAATTTTAAATCAGTAACATGATGTGTTTGACTAAATACATACATTGACCTACCTTTGCTTTCAGCTTTCTCCATTTCTTTCAGTTCCTGAACAAATAGAGACTGACTCTCTTTAAGTGGCCAACTATTATACAGCACCAGTGCTTGTATGATATACTTGTGAGACTGTGAAAGAAAATGCATTATGTTAACACACTGAAGACTTAACAATTATAGTAAGCATTCAAAAGTTCTGTAGGTTAGTAACCTATCAGCTATTGAGTTCAGCAAATAAAACACATAATTAATTTACAAGCTTGCACATTACAGTATTCACAAGAAGCTTAATAAAATTAGCGTTAATTCCACAGATTTTAATTTAATTCCTGTGAAATGAAACAATTACTCATGTGTTTATCAAGTGAAACTAAACTGGGCTATACAGCCTCAAGCTGCACTGGGGAGATTTAGACTGGATATTAGGAACAATTTCTTCACCAAAAGGACTGTCAAGCATTAGAACAGGCTGTCTAGGGAAATGGTGGAGTCACCATCCCTGGAGGTATCTAAAAGACATGTAGATGTGGTACGTGGAGACATGGTTTAGTGGTGGCCTTGGCAGTGCTGGGTTAATGGTTGGACTTGATAATCTTACAGGTCTTTTCCAACCTAAAAATTCCTATTATTCTATTATTCGATTCCTTTAAGATTTCCATGTAACTTTCCTATGCATGCCATCTGCAAAAACCAAAGACTTTTGTCTTTAAGACCTACTACAGGGCTTTGAGTCCTTATGCTAGCACACTATAATGTCTTAATTTGAAGTAGAGGTGACAGGACCCATGGGTTATTTTAAACATTGTCTGCACTGAACAGGAAATTACTCCCTTTAAAAACTGTTTTCCAAATTCTAAACCCATTTCTGAGTCAAAAGAACAACACTGGAATTTATTTCTCTAATATATATGTAATTTTTTTTACTATATTGTTTTGAATATGTTGGTGCAATTGAACTCAATTATCAGGGAAATCCCTGTAGAGAAACACTTGGTGGCAGAGAAACAAGAACTGTTTTAGAAAATAAATGTTGTGATTTTATTTTATTTTTGTAAGATAGACAAATATTACATGAAGTCAAGAAAAATCCACGTTTTTGACAATCCTCTCTGAGAAACTTGGCTCAAGTAGCAGCTCTTGTGTGTGTGTTACTAAAGCTGTCAGCTGACCGGCAATAGGTGTTTCTCTATTAAAACCAGCCTTCTCTTACATTAAATTTCAAAGAAAATTCATACCAAGGCATCAGAAGTTTAACGTAACTTCTGGTAGCTTTTGGCCCTTAGCTGAAAATTATGCTATACTTGGATTTGGCAAATTAAGACCATTTAAAGATTGAATGAATCACCTTGATTTGAAGCCAAAAATGACCCCTTCTTATTTGGTTATTCATGTATTAGGCTATCAGATGTCCATTGTTCCAAAAGAATTAACAATACCCCTTACTTGTTTGTTTTTGTTTTTTTGGTTGGTTGGTTTGGTTTCCCCCCCCGCAAATGCCTGTGATTTGGAATCTCTTACTTGTTGTGGACTTCCATCCTTATTTTGAAAGGTTTCCAAGATGGAAGATTCATCTTCTAATGCAGGTGGACCTTCTCGTACATGTCCTGCCTTGAAAGAAGTTTTGGCATCCTTTGAAGATGAATTATGAACTTTTTTTTTGGATCCTTTCATTTCTGATTCCTTCTTTGTACTACTTTGACTAATCTTGCTTGCTGCAAGATTAAATATGTCAGTGTTAATTTCCAGAAATACTACGAATTGTTGCTATGAGGTAAACAGATACCACAGTCAATATTCTCACAAGTCACACATGGTCAATAATGCTCAAAAGGGTCCAATTAAAATTGCTTATGCCAAATACTATCCTGATTTTATTCTGCACGAAAATCACAAATCTCTTCAAAGTAAATAGTAAGAAATTTGAAAGACTGTATATATAACTGCTATTACTGTTTATAAAGCATATAATTTTACTCCCTTGAAGTCCCACACTACTTTCCTGCGCTAACCATGACAGCACTATGCTATATATTACATAATACAGATAGCTTTGTACTCTCTTTGATGGGGTCTCTGTGTAACCAATCTAATTTAATGTTGTGTACGCTTGTGGAAGGAGGGGAGAGGTGTGTTGGCCACAGTTCCGGCAAGTCCTACCCTTACAGAAGTCTCTGATGTCAACCTGACACAAAAATCATAGCTGACTGACGTTTAGAAAAAGCCAATTTTGAAAGGAGTTATAGAACTATCTGTGGCCTGGAATTCATAAAGGTATATAATTTTCTCCTAAGGAAGGTATTAATATGGAAAAACTGTGAAACCAGGAATGTGCTAAAGAAGGGCCATCATGGACGTATTAATCCAGAAAATGTAAATTTGTGTTCATTTCTAATGCCACTGAAAACTTTTTGATTTCACTGAGGACAAGAAGCCTTCATGGTTTTCAAGGTATATTGAAGAAGCAAAGGATGATACTCCATCACCACAACACTTCAAAAGAAAAATGTAGAGTTTCACATGTTTCGACAAAACATGCAGGAGTTCACAGGAGTTGACAGGACTAGTAGACCAGATTCAGCAAAATTTACTGGTGGTGTGTCAGTGCACAAATGCCAAATAAAACGTTAAGAAGTGTGACACTAGAAACACAAAAGGAGTTATGAAATACTGCTTCTTATGGAATTCAAATGCCACGTATAACTTGCTATTGCATCTTTCCTCTGCATATGGCAGTGCTCCCTTTTTCCTAAGAAAAACCGGAAGTCAGGAAATGAAAACAAGAACCTTTGCAGAAATGCTTTCTTCAAGATATCTTAAACTCCTAATCCCAAGATGTGAGTTGCTCTTCTGCATAATATTCATAATGTTCCTTTCTATCTCTGTGAAAACCTGCTGCAAAGAAATAATTTGGATTCCAAATGGAAGAATAACTCTACACACAGACATTTTCCAAATGAGTAACTTGCCTTTAGGCAACCATCTGCAATATTTGCATGAAGGTTTCTAGACAGGAACGCTCTTCAGTGCCTGCTTAAGCACCATTATCAAGGAACACTGCAAATAAAAGGCAGCTTTAAAGAAGTGAGGCCAACTAAATGTACTCCCTCTTGTAGTCAACAGAGAGGTGAGCTCCCCTCTGGAAGGTCGGGTGTCTGGGCTTCAGATTGCTGTCTGAAAGAGCCTACCTCTACCTGTCAAGGTAGGTGGGTTTCAAGGGAGATTGTATTTCTTTGGCTATGATCAGCTTTCACTGTCCTTCTTCTCTCTCTCCTAAACCTGAAGAGCTTAAGTATTAAAAAATTCTATAATGGTTTTCCCAGAGGATGATCTTGCCATGAAGGTAGTTCAGAATGCTGGAATCCTCCATAAGACTCATTCTGCTTTCCATGGTGCAAAGATGATTTGTAGAAGTTCCCAAAAAATCCAACATCCAAAATAGTACTTCTAGCAATTGTCACCAGGTGGTGCTGTGACACCAAATTACTTTTCTTCCTACCGACGTAAATACTCAGTCTTGGTTTTCCTAAGCAAAGCTCTGATTAGAAGGAACGGCTACCTACCTTTCGTTCCAGATTCAAACACAAGATCTGTGAATAAGATTTTTATACTTTGACACTGGATTGTACCAGACTGCTACTATGGAAAATAAAAGGATTATGAGCATCCTCTTGCCCATCTGTGCTTACAGGACTGCTGTGCTTGTATCAAAAACTGAGTTGTATTTGGAAGATGTTAATATGTTACTCCTTCATTGGCAAGCAAATGTAAAAGGTCCATGTCATTGGCTACATCTCAGAGAGGTAAATATATTCAAAATCAAGTGGTTTAATGCAGTTTCTTAGCTATAAAAGACATTTATATCGCATCTGTGACTGGAGGTGAATTAACAGGTTGTGGGTAGGAAAGGGGAATAATGTTTTATTGGTAATACTTGCACAATAAGGTCACTTAACATTGCTTCTGGCAACACTGTGATCAATTCTATGAGAGGCAGAACACGTGATTCTGAGGAAGTCTCAAATGTGAGGATTGCCTTTCTTAACTAACAATTTTGGTGCTGATGGTATAGCAGTTTCTGATTATTCCTGTTCTGTGAAAACACACTTGTTTAGAGAACAACTAGATGCTAACAGTATGGACCTTGTATTGAGTGTCAGTTGTACAAACCCCTACCTGAACTTGGCATTGGTATTTATGGAGGTTCCTATATTGTTATTGTACAGGACAAAATTTCATACTGCTGTTGACAACAGCAAAGAAACAAGAAATATGTTTTTACAATGCCATAAATTGTGCCTACAAACATTCAGCAGGTTGGGTAATATGATACTGTCATAATGCTTATACTGAACACATTCAATCTTTTCATTTAGTTTGGATGCTCTGAAAAATTTGGAATACTTACACAAAATGTCTGCTTTGTGATAAATGGATGCCTCATACAATAAAATAATTTCAATGTTACAGCCAGTTGGTCTAGTATTGTAAAAATAATAGTAAAAAGCCCAACAAACTGTGACAGCCATTCCTTTCAAATGAAAGCTCTCTGTACATGCACACACACTTAAATGGAACCAGAATATTCATTTCACCTTCAAATACAGTCTAAAACCATAAAACTTTTCTTACAGGCTCCACTGCTGAATATGAACCCCAAAACAATCACCTTTTTACTTTCAATCAGGTTAATATAACAGGTATTTCACTGAATGATCCACAATGGATTAAAATAACTTTAAATTGCCAGAAACTATTTGTATCATAGCACATAAGAATAAGAGATAGAAGCCTAATGTGTATGTCTGATTTCTGAGGGTATTTTGCAAAGTTCTCACCTATGCCCCCTGCTAGTGTGGCAAAGTCAAAATGTACCTCTCAGGTATTCTGACCCATTCTCTCTCTTCCAGCATCTGTTGGAACCCATTTATCTTCTCTTTCAACTTAGAATCATAGAGTCATAGAATAGTTAGGGTTGGAAAGGACCTTAAGATCATCTAGTTCCAACCCCCCTGCCATGAGCAGGGACACCACACACTAAACTATGTCGCCCAAGGCTCTGTCCAGCCTGGCCTTAAACGCCTCAAGGGCTGGAGCATTCACAACTTCCTTGGGCAACCTATTCCAGTGCCTCACCACCCTCACTGTGAAGAACTTCTTCCTTATATCCAACCTAAACTTACTTACCATGCTTCAGACTGTGATCTTTGCCAACAAGACAGTTTTCTGAAAGAAACTTTCTCCTTCACTTTAGTGAAGGTAACACGGCAATTTATTTCAAGAATTGTGATGCTGACCCTAATCTGAGCTATTTTACAGCCTTCCTGCTTCTGTTTCCATCAGTCTACTAATAAGTTTACTAATCCATTCCCACATTCCAAAAACAGTACCCAAAATAGCTAATATCTTGGTAACTCAGACAGAATTATGACATCTTATCCTCAACTTCCTTTAAAACCATAACATTGTCATCTAATGCATGATTTTAAAAGCATGGTCTCCACATTTATGGTAATAATAAGGTGCATTTATGGTTATAACAAGGTGCAGTTGAGACAAAAATCAAGATGCTTCATAAACATGATTAGACTATTAGAAATAATAAAATAATTTGGAAATTTAGATGAAACATTTTTCTAAAGGATGTTAGAAAACTACACAGTTCAAAATAGTGGTGATGAGCACTTTAAATATGATGCTATTTTGGGCTCTACTGAAGCAATAATGCAGTATTTGAAAAATCTGTCTTTGCCTCAGGTTCTGAATATACTCAAACAGGCACAAACTCATTGATTTACAAAAGATTTGTTGTTTAAAAGTCTTCATAAAAGGACTGAAGACTTTAATATCCTACAACATTGATATATATCGGTGTCCATGGAGAGTACAGTAGCTAACTTGTTTGCTTATAAACAACTGCTTTACTTAAGCAAACTTGTAATGCTTATGAATAATATAATTTTCAAAATGAAACCCCATAGATATAGTGAAAAATTAAAAATAGTATACTGTCTTACAAAAATAATGGAAACAGCTTAAAAAGTAAAGTGTATAGAAAATGGGGAAACAAACTAAGATTATGAAAGAAGTTAAAATGGCATGGCAGTAGCATCTAAAATCTATTATATATAAGATGGTACTTCGTTTTTGTTAAAGATTACTTAAACATCACAGGGACATTTGCTGAAAATGTGCCTAAGAATTATGTACCTCATTCAGCTGCATTTATTGTCCCTGAACAGTAAAATTATACAGCACTTCAGAAACAAATAACCAATCAACTGCCCGAGAGTACTTTTGTATGACAAAATTTTCATTCCACTTTTGTTTTATCTTCTTTAAAAAGCAGCAAAAGTTACAGCTTTTGCTTTAGCCCCAACTTTACCAAACAACAAAAATGCCAGCAGCAAACAGCTAATACTGTCTGAGGGTAGCTCTTGAATACAGAGTTCATTAGAATTTTAACTTCTGGAAGCCTGAAGTGAAGGACAAAAGAGGATGTCTGGATAACCTAACTCTGCACTCCGGAGTGTGCAGGAAGTTACCTCGCTACATCAGAGGGGGATGATGGCAGAGTATTGCTACAGTCAAAAGCTGAAGGCTCTCTCCATTAAGTCCAGTTGTAAATATGGACCTCCTTAGTTAGACAGTATATCCAAAGAAACGAACGAGATTATTTGTGTATCACCAAGAAAAAAACGCAAATTTAAGCCTTTACTACTAATTGATACCACAGGATCATGGGAGGCTGAGCGGTCCTGGCAGAGGCTGGAAGACACCTCTGGAGATAATTTAGTTCAATTCCATTGCTAAAATGCAGGTTGCTCATGGCCACATCCAGGTGGGTTTTGATTATCTCCAAGGATGAAGACTCCAAAACCTCTCTAGGCAACCTGTTCCAGTATTTGATATCTTGAGAGTAAAAATAAAAAACCCTAACAAAATTCCAAACCAAGCAACCCCCACCCTCCAAATAACCTTTTCTAATGCTTAGATTTATTTTCTATTTTTCAGGTTTTGCCCATTTCCTGTTGTCTTGTCACTGGATGCCACTGAAAAGAGTTTGACTTCATTTTCTTTACCTCCTTACCCCTTATCCTAGTATTTACATGCTGTGAGGCTTGGGTGTAAAGTAGATTCAGAATGTTAGCTTGCTGGACTACAGAGAGTCAGTTCTAACTGGTGCCAGCTGGAATTTTCTTAGCTACAATCACAAGTTTCGAAGTACATTGAGAAAATACATGAATTTTAGCATACTTATGAAAGGTGACCTTTAAACACACACTGGTTCTCACCTTCAACAAAAGGTGAGCTGACAAAACTGCAGGGTAAAAAAATGGCAATTAAAAAAAAAAAAAAGCAATAAAAACTTTGAGCAAATAAACTTCTCAGATTCAACATTTCAGCCAAAAATGATTATTTGCTGTAACTTTCAAATAAATTTGTCTCAAAGGAAATTTTGTTTAATTCAAATGTTCCCATAACATATAACTTTTTCTCAGTATTTCAGTTACTATCACAAAGAACTGACAATAGTATAATAGCATAATGGGCATTTATGCCTTTTAGGCTAACTTTGCAAGTCTAGGGAAAGTAGCTTTTCCTTCAGTGTCTTTATTTCTATGAACATTGTTGTGAAACCATAGCAGAACTACAGTCAAAATGGGAAAGTTTTTCTTAAGGATAAACATTATATAATTCATTAAGAGTATTTTTCCTTGTACTCTGGGCCTCGTATGACAGATGACAAACCAATAAAATGTGTGCTGCTGCTAAAAGGAGTGATGCTCAGGGCAGTCTATTTAAACCATAATGCTCACTGAAACCTGTGAATTACCTACCATGTCCCATGGTTTGGGCATCAGTTTCCTAACAGCCAAAAGTTTTTGAACCTTAACATCAAACAAAGGCAAGATCTTCAAAAATAAAACATATTTCAATTCTCAAGGACAAGGCAAGCACATGCATAACGATTTTAAAAACTGAGAAACTACTTCAATGATCCACAAAAGCCTTTAGACAGGTATAAAATACAACCAAAAGGCAGAGGAAGAAAATAAGGCTGGACACCTTATTTCAGTCAGTCCTTTCAGTACCCTTCCTCATTGCTGAGGACAAAGGACTCCTGTTCATTGCTCAAAAAGTTAGCCAATTTCACTCAATCACAAAGCAATTAAGGATTCACGAGAAAAAGTAGGAAAAAAATATTTTCTGTGATTATCTAAAGTTACTGTAAGAGTGTATATCCCTCAGTGAATAAAATTATCAAATACAGAATACAGTACTTACATTGAGAACTCGAAAGCATTTCATTACTCAAGAAATTAAAAGTAGGGATGACTGCATGTCCCTTTCCTGTGACACTCGAAATTTCTTCTTCATTATCTAGGACTTGTAGTTTAACGAACACATCTGGTTTAGAGGTTTGGACCTGCACCGTAGCAATATGTGATGCTGCAGCTTTTACTGAATACCTGAAGAAGAAGAAAAATATTATAGCAATATAGCCAACTATCCAACTATGCCAGAACATTCTTTCTTAGGAAAGTGCCTAAATGTTGTGCTGACCTGGAAGTAACACTTAAAATTGAGTTTATAGTCAATTGTTTTCCCACAATCTGGTAGGCTAAATTTCCTGTAGAAGAGTGCAGTGAACCTATGATCAAAGTGCTGCTGCAAAAAAGAGGGTGGTCTTGCCATTTCTTTTTTCACTGCCTCATCTAATGACCACATACAAATTTTCCCTCCCACTGTACTACTAGCTGTTGAAAAACATGGTTAGCCAGATCAGGAAACTGTTTCAATTAAATAATTTATTAATTAGAAATATTGGTACAAATTGCCAGAAGTTGAGGGAAAATATTCTAGAATTAACCTTCAAAATATGTACATGTAATCAGCCCTAAGCATCGGGCCTGTTCTAGTGCGATGTGTAGTCCTTTGTGTAAAAGTCTAAGAAGAATAGTGTTTTAGTCAGGGTCAGTTCTGAACTCAAGCTCAGCCATAATAAACTTTTAAAAACTTCAATAAACTAAAAAAGGATTAATAAAAATTAAACCATCACATTTTTATTATGTTCTCCTAAAAGAATTGGCATGCTAAAATAAAATCTATATGAATTTTTCTGCTAACAGTGCAAGACAGAAATTGGTCTGATATATCAGAAAATAAAGTGTTGTATTTTGTATTATTTAAAGCTTTATCTGAATAGCTGGGGGAAAAAAAAAAAGATAATCTAACTTCATGTTTCCTCCGCATCTGCAAAATCTTGATTTTAATACATTTAATCCCCCAAAGTACTATGGAATTACAAGCAATTGACATATGGATAAAATTTCAAGATTGAACTTAGAGAAATGCAAAATACTGTTATTAAGATTTTAAAGTTACACTCTGTGTACTTCATACCTGTTCTTCATTAAGCAGTGGTAATATTTCAGAAAATATGAAATGTTAAATTTCATATTGCACATTGATGGCCCCAAAAATTCAGATATTTGCCTTAATATCCTCCCCTTCTAAGAAAAATAACATACTTTTCTGTCAGGCATGGTCCATTTAAAAAGCAGAATTTAATCATTCTTCTCTCAGTATTTACCTGAACATTATGTGCTCGTCATTGGGTATGTAATACTCTCTAATTTCTTTAATAGAATAGATGTTATATACAGCTTCACGAGAGAGAAATGGGAGTGGACTGTGAGAACCAATAAGCCGGAGCCTCCATTTTCCAGCTGCCACAGGTAGGTCACCAGTACGAGCTTCAGCCATAAATGTGTATCCTTTCTGAAAGGACAAAACAAGTCTTTTTTATTTGGAAATAACACTACTCAAAATGCACTCCATGACTACATGCAACACACTTTCTGTCTATGTTACACTTATTAATATAACAAGCAAGAATCTTATCATTCTATTATAGTCTAACTTATGAAACATCTCTTATTGCAGGAATTCACATTTGGCAAAAAATTACATAGCAAGTCAAATCCAATCTCACCTAACTTCAAAGCTGGCAAGTATTTTTAAGTGCAGGTACAGTAAAATTCCTGAGGTCACTTTCTAACCAAATTCTTTGATGATTCTAAATAGTTTAATAATATCTAACTTAACAAATACTAATGAGTTCTTAATCTTTTATTTAAGCCTGTGTGGTACTCTAATCTGAAAAGTCTTCTTGAACATGACTGAAGTTCAGTAAAAGGTATTTATTTACTCAATATATATTGTCTTGCTTTGTACATCATATGACTGTGTAAATAACTCCCAAATAAAACATCTATACATCTCTGGCTTCTGTAATATTACCATTCTTTGTCTTTGTCTTTCCATTTGTTACAAAATGTTTTTTCGCTCTTGATATCTAATCAAAACTGTATGTCTGGTGATGGTAGTAGTAGCAGTAGCAGTAATAGTAGCAGTAGAAAGAGTATAAGATGGCATAAGTGAAGAACTTCCACTCCAAGCTCTGAGACAACCACATCAATACTATACTATTGCTGGGAAACAACTGGCCTGTATGCCAGATGTAAGGAAGATTATAATATTATTATTATAATGTGTTGATGTCTCTGAAAACTGCACAACAATTTTGAGATTATAGATACCTTTAACTGCAAAGGTGACCACAGCTGAAGGTAAGGAAACTAATATTTTGGCAATTCAAGCACAAAACATCCAGCAAAAGCTAGCAATCCTTACATATATGAAAGAAAATTAGATAAAAAGTAAACATGAAAATTACTTCATTCACTGATACACCAGAGATTTTAAAATGCCCCTTCATGCTGTAGGTAGTGTGAAATGATGAGTGAATTTAGAAATTTAGAGATCAGATTAATTCTGTGTTCAAATTTGTGGTTAAATTAACATTTCCCCTACTTTTAATAATGTCATTGTAAATATAGTATTAAATATCAGGATATTAACCTTACTTTTATGAAGATATTGATTTAAGAATTACACAGTTAATAACCCTGATGCAGATTTGTCTGCTTTTTATGAATCCCAAGAAGAGGAATATGGGGAACCAGAATACAATTATAAAGGTTTCAAAATTCTATTTTATTTTATATTTGAAAAAAAGAAGGCAATGTATTTCATTACTTGAAAGGCAGGGGCAGGAAAAGGGATATGATGAGTGCAATACCAGTTGCAATGTAACAGGGGAAGTCAGGATTAAGTCCCTTCTTCAAATTCTCTAAGTTAGCCATACTAACTTGCTATTTCAAACATTGCACCCAAGAAATAGTTCAGATGAAAATTCCTTGAAAGGTTTTCTCTTGGCAGTCTTCTGCTAAATTTCAGTTAAAAGAAATCAGTATTTAGCAGTAAAAAAGCTTTGTTGAAAAAAATTTTTTATAAATATGGTTGTGATTTCAGGAGTACCCAATAATGCAGGGTTGTGACTTCAGAACTACTGAAAATTTAGAATGAAAGTAAAAGAAATTATTCACAATTTCAATTTGTGCAATTGTAACTGCAAGGCACTTCAAATCCTTTAATCACTACAAGGTAATGGCAACCATTCAGTTATGATTCAGGAGAACTCACTTATTTAAATATCTAGTTAAGCATACGGTTAGTCCCCTCTGTTCATAACAAGTACACTTGGAAACTGAAAGGAATCTAGCCAGATATTCAAATGATTTCTGACAGCAGAGCGAAGCACTTTCTGTTACATACCTGTTTCTAAAGATACGGTTATACAATCTTAATGTTCACTACAAATATGCAGAAAAATTTTACATAAGATAAAAAAAAAAATAAATGTTTGAGTGGGCACTTTCTGAATACTGTGAGGAATAAGAAAGCACAATAACTGAATTTCGCAGCTCTCAGGAACACTGAGTAACCATCAGCCACTACTATTATGTTAGGAAACAGATCTAGAGAACGCCATCAGATTTGTCTCTTTCTCAAAAAACTTTGAGAGGTTTCATTACCAAATTAGGTAAACTTGTTACAATTCACTATCTGTAGAATCAGAAAGGGTTGTTATCTAATGTACATCTTACGTTAACTTTCTCGTAAAAATGATTTTTATATATCCTTCTATGACTAATCAAGACAAACAACTGTTCAGCATCTATTTTCCAGACTAAATATGTTGTTAATTATGATTTCTTAAATTCTTATGTTGTTGGTCAGCTGAAGCTTGAGGAATACTTATCTCTATCCTTTCTACAGTCTGTCCAAAAGGCTTCTGAATAACAAAGAAAGAATTAAAAAAAATCAACATAACAAACAAGCAAACAAACAAAAACCACCCGCCCCCCCAAAAAAACCCGAAACCCCAAAAAACCCCAAACAACCAACCCAAAAGCACAAAACCAAATCCAAACAACTGTATCAGCAGTAACAAAAAATTACCATGGAAGAAGAAAATTTAATGCAAAAAAATTTCCAAATAATGCAGAGCAAATAGCTAGTTTCTGTCTAGATAGTAATGTCTGCAGAAAGAAAGCAGACATTATTGCTAGTGTGCGGATTTTATCCTTATTGTCAGTCATTCTGAAATGAACTTTAATGTGTTCCAGGAGCATCTCTGCAGCAGATTAACAGTATCTGTTGATAGGATTTCCTTTTAGCTCTGTTGTAAATTGCTGATACATAGTTTTGAAGCAGAACAACTAACTGGAGAAAAAAAGAAGAAAGGACTTTTTCTGTAATAACACTGACATTTAGGAATTTAAGCATACTGTATAATTTCTTCCTCGATGTATTATATCGTTGACTATTTCTACAAAATATTGTTAAAAAGAAAGGTAACAGCCAGGTTAAAGTAATATCATTTTGTCTTTCATAATAATTTCATAGAGTCTTGTCAAAGCATAAATAGAGCTTTCAACATTTACAACTAGGAAAACCAAGGTAAATTCAACAGTATAAGGTTATGTTATTACTGAGAAACTCAGTATCAGTGGTTAAGAAATGTAATTAGAATAGGTAGAAAAACATAGCATACCTGCACAATTCTGTTTTTAATACTCTTAAACCAAAATCACTTTTTACTGATATTAACCACATTTAATATTATAAAATTTAAGTTGTGAGTTTAGAGAATAACAACAACATCTGCTTTACGAGGGGTCTTCTTCAAAAAAGAAGGATAGGAATACAATAAAAAGGGCTATTATCATTAGTTAATGACAGAATGACTGAGCCTATCATGCTGTACGTGGGGTAATGCATAACAAAACAAACATTTCCAATATTGAAACCACTGTACTGCACAAAGTAATGGTAAGGTCTTATTTGGAATATCGTGTACAATTTTGAGATCCTTAGCCAAGAAAGATATGTTAAATTTGAGGAGGTCTGAGAACGAATTAGTAAAATCAGGGAAGTTGAAAAACTGCCTTGCAAGGCAGAATTAAACAGTTCTATCCTGCTAAGAAGGACAGATGCTGATATGAAATCTGAAATAAATTTGAAGTTATGATTGCTCTTTCCACAACCTGTCAGTTTCCTGAAAAGCAGTAAGTAGTGTTCACCACTGAGATTTGGTTTTGCATCCTGTCACTTGCCACTGTTGAATTCCAAACTGAGTTTTCCTGTCTGATGGAATCTACACCCCATCTCTAAGGATCCCAAATTAGTTTTGAGAGCAACCCTTCTTACTTAAGCCTATTCCCCCAGCAGTAGCAGTCACATTCAGCTAATATTCACTATAAACATTAGATAAAGCAAGTTCATTCTAGTGCAAAAAAAAAAAAAAAAAAAAAAAATTGATGAAATTGAAAGTTACAAAAAAAAGACAAGAAAATTGCTCCTACAATGTTAGACTGTAGATTATATCAATTCCTTGTTATTGACACATGAGACCGAGAAGGCTAAAACGTGAACATGTCTTCACTAAAAGGTCAAACTGTGAAGATGTGGCTAGAATAGTTAATATTAGGGCTAATAGTACAGACTAATAAAATTAACTAATAAAATTAACTCCTTGCAACCCCTTCAACATAGCAAAAAGACTGAAAAAGCAAGTCCTATCAAACCAATCAAGCTTCCTTCTGTAGGAAAGAAGGAGACGCCTGACACTGTCTCTTTGATCATTCTTCCAAGCCTATGAAAATGGTGTCATAATGAAGAAACTAGGGTGGCTGTTGGAGATCACATCCAGAAAGCACTATTCAAGGCTCCTTTAGGAAGAGCAGGATGCAGTCAGTGAGATTTCAAAGATCTAACCTGATTCCATTCAACATTTTTATTAATAATGTGGATGGTAGAATGGAGACCATACATGTTTAATTAGCTGATACCACAAACTAAGGAGGATTGTAACTTTAGAGAAGATAAGAATTCAAGATTATTTTGAACTACAGAAATGGTCTGAAGAAAACAGCATTAAAATCAGTGGTGAAATCCACTATATTTAGTCAAGAATAATAAACTACAGGATTCAGTTCTTCAGGAAAGCACCTAGTGTTACAAGACTCAACGATGGTAGTGTACAATAGGACAAGCATCACGGTTGGATATATCAGCAGAAGTAAAGCCCAAAGACATGTAAACTTATCATTCCTTACTCATTTGTATGGCCACAAGTTAATCCCTGGTGCAAAGTTTACAGTGCTCAGTGTTGGGCATGATAAACAAGAAAAAGCAATAGCAACTGGAAAGAGTCCAGACGAGGGAGTAATCAAAGAGTGTCGAATACACAACTTGCAAGGAAAGACTCAGAAAACTGTCTTCTTTAGTCTAGACATAAAAAGGCAGAAGGATAGGAAACTGTGATAACACTTTAAAAATATAGTTATTTTTTTAAAAGCAAACTACACTAATGCTTCTGAGGTAACATACAGGCTTTGAGGGGGAGCATATCTATATTGCCATTAAGAAGCACAGCACAGGGAAGTTGGATGATATTCCTCCATTTAGCACTAGTAAAAAACATTACAGAAAATTAAGGTTATTCTTTCACTGTAAAAGGTTTAGCACAGATGCAGATCAGTGATAGTCTCTGTTCAAACTTGCTAAAAAGTAAGGGCCACTTCTAAGTAGAACATTATGATATAGCTAAAAATGTCCACAGAATTTGGGCAATTGTTATTATTTTTAAAATTATACTTTTCACGACGACTCTTTGCATTTACCTTATTTTTGGGATAAACACAAGGCGCCACTTTGAAAAAGACATGGGGCATTTCCTGCAGTGTGTCATTATCAACAACATGAAGTCTAAAGGAAGGGATAGTGGTATACATCTTTGGCACTATAAGCATGTCTTCTGGAACAAAAAATATTTCTCTAAAAAAAAAAAAAAATCGTAATTATTTCACAAATAAAATGACGTGTAGTGTAACACAAAAGAAAGCATATATTAGAAACAGACTTCTGTAGAATTACATTTTTGAAGCACGTTAGTGAAAAAACACAGTGTATCACTACTATTTTCTCATAGAAGTTATATAGGACTGTATGAAACTCACCTAAAAAGCATAAACCATGTATTTGGTGGCTGATCAGCATACGATCCATTATAGTCAGCAAAAGACATCTTACACCATTCATCTTCATAACAAGGAAACTTTTCAATTGACTTACAGTTTCTTTTAAACATTTCTCTGGAAAGCATAAATCAAGATATTTTAATCTAATCAGGAGGGCATATATATTTTGGCTTTAATTTATGCTAATCCTGAGGAACATTGCTTCGTGCGTGAATGTGGAACAATGATATAAAATGTGTTACTAAAATTCCTCTAGTAGCTGTTCACTCTCAAAAAATAGTAACTTAGGCAGGAATCCGCTCTTTAAGAGGTAATGGCTCATAACTGCCAATACTTAAAATATTTCTATTAGCCAGTCTATCCATGAGTACAACTGCTTTGAATAGCCCAAAATATTACACTTTCCACAAAACTATACTTTCCTTCTTTTTTAAATTATTTAATAAATATCAGTTATAACTTCTGTTTCTTTACATTAAGCTGTGAACTTAAAGCTGTGGCATCATTAGGAGATAAAAACCCCCTTTATTTTAAAATTGTTCTGATCAAGAAAGGAATAAAACCAAACTCAAATAAATTTAGAATGGAATGTAAGACATTCTTTTCACACAGGAAAAAACCTAAGACTGTAAATCCAGAAGTTATTTGTAAGGCAAATAAGCTCACAGGTTTTATGAAGTTCTCAAAGTTAAAGCTAACCTCACTGGCACCTTACACCATGAATTTTTATTTATCATGTGCAGTATCAGAAATTAATGTTTCTCTGAACAAAGCAATGTGAAGACCAGCTACAGTATTTACTGGCATGTGAACAGGTTGTCGGGTGAAGGGCAGAAGACGGATAACAGGTCTGACTCCATCTTTTGTCTCTTTCCAGTGATTTTCTCTGGACATTATGAGAAAATATTCCTACGCAGAGGTGAAGGAAAGGATATCCTTCTCCCTGCCATTCCTTCTGTCTTGCATTAGTCTTTAACTACCTGATTTCTGCACTAAGTAAACAATATATATTTTTTGCTATCTTTTAATTGGTCTAATTGAAGGTTTGGTTTATATGGTTTGTGTACAAGAGAGAGTTTAAAAAAACCTCATAATTGTCTTCTGTGTCAAGTATGAACGTATTCAAATTGTTCTACTGCAAAAGTTTTATCCACAAATTTGGACAACGCTAGTCTGACGTTCTTTTATTTCTATATAGTGATTAGAATTACAGAAACAATCTCCACATTCATGTTTTTAGCAATGGTAATAGCTGACCTTGACATTTAATTAAGATGAGTCACAGAGCGGGTGCAAGCACTGCCAGAAGTAACTTAAAGCAGAACAGTTTGAAATCTTAGACATGAAGTCTGGTAAAGGTTCCTTCCACTACTGATAAAGAGCACACAGAAAAAGCCCCTCAGGAACCTCAGATTTTTAATTCGTTGAAAATGACAGTGGGAAAAACATAGAGGAGCTTACATGGGATGCACAGTGAGAAAGAGGTGGCAACCCCAGCACAAACTGAGGTTTTGGGACATTTTAATCTGGTGACCGTGTTCTAAAATGGTACTGCTTCTGGCATCCAGGAAGTTTGGGGTTAGAAAATGGGAAAACTTTTCCCCTAACACTGAACTTCCAAAATTCCTGCATGTGACTTTATTGGCCAAGGCTTATTATATCAAATATAAGTTTGTTGGCAGCTAAAAAATGAAAATCACATTAGCATGGTTTTAGCACTGAAATGTATCCCCAGGGGTAATGCCTAGGAATCAGACCTGTAAGTTTTAGAAGTCTGAAGGTAGACCAAAAACTGCATCTGATCTTTGCAGATTTAAAGATGATACAGATCTAAACCTGAGGTGGAATATTTGGAACAAGGCTGTGGTTGCAAAGTCCTGATCCCATTAACATATAAACGTTTTACAGGATTAGAAACACTAAAACGTGAAGTAAAAGTACACCTCATGAGAGTGTTCCTGAAATTGCTGGTTATAAGGGGTGAGGATTTATACCTACAGCTAGTAATTATTGCCAGTTCTCACGCCTTACCCCTGGCAGAACTAACAGAATCAAAGAATCATAGGAAAGTTCGGGTTGGAAAGGACCTTAAGATCATCTACTTCCAACCCCCCTGCCATAAGCAGGGACACCTTGCACTAAATCGTGTTGCCCAAGGCTCTGTCCAGCCTGGCCTTGAACACTGCCAGGGATGGAGCATTCACAACTTCCCTGGGCAACCCATTCCAGTGCCTCACCACCCTCACTGTAAAGGACTTCTTCCTTATATCTAATCTAAACTTCCCGTGTTTAAGTTTGAACCCATTACCCCTTGTCCTACCACTACAGTCTGTAATGAAGAGTCCCTTCCCAGCATCCTTGTAGGCCCCTTCAGATACTGGAAGGCTGCTATGATGTCTCCATGCAGCTTCTCTTCTCTAGGCTGAACAGCCCCAACTTTCTCAGCCTGTCTTCATATGGGAGGTGCTCCAGCCCCTTATCATCCTCGTGGCCCTCCTCAGGACTCTGCTCCAACAGCTCCATGTCTTTCTTATGTTGAGGACACCAGAACTGTACACAATACTCCAAGTGAGGCCTCACAAGAGCAGAGCAGAGGGGCAGGATCACCTCCTTTGACCTGCGGATCCCACTTCTTTTGATGCAGCTCAGGATACGGTTGGCTTTCTGGGCCGCAAGCGCACACTAAAGCTGGCTCATGTCAAGCTTCTCATGCACCACCACCCCCAAGTCCTTCTCCGCAGGGCTGCAATGAATCTCTTCTCTGCCCAACCTGTAGCTGTGCCTGGGATTGCCCTGACCCAGGTGTAGGACATTGCACTTGGCTTGGTTAAACTTCAAAAGGTTGGCACCTACTCCTAGATCAGTTGTGTGACACTTGCAGAGAGATTTTTGAAAGACTTAATGAAAATACATGATTCCCCAAGTGTGTCATGCTTGTAAATGACTTAACAATATTGAAAACAGAGTAGCTACCTTTGCAAAAGCTGTAATTAAATACCAATGAAAGCATCTTCCTAGAAATACATCTACTTTCCACCAAGCAAGTGCTACAAACAAATCTACTGATGTTATAAACTGTGGTACAATTACATAGTATAGCTACGTCCCTCCTAATGTCAACTAGGATTCCTTAACAGATAGCATGAATCAAAATGTTTCTCTAAATCAACCGGTTAGCTGTTTAGCTATGGAATCAGTATCAGATTTATACTTATGAAACAGCCTTCAGGCTATTAAAAAATTAAATACAGGAGAAAGATAATAGTCTAGTTCAAGCTATACGAAAAAGCCTGTAACACACATACCTAAAAATTAAATTTGCTATAGTTTTACACATTTAGACCACACAGAATAAAGCACAGGATATCTCTACTAAAAACATCTCATCCCTTCCAACAAAGTTTTGTAATTTTAAAACTAGTAATGCTCTTACCATCTTTGTTTTGTGAATCAGCAATTTTTGGCAATTCTATGGTACTGCTTGCAATAAGATAATTTATTTCATGATTACCTTAACAACATTACGGCACACTGTTCAAAATTTAACTCAATTGCAGTCCACAGGTTTTGCAAAGTTTCTTGGACATTAGCATTTTCTTTGGTACCTGGAAATAACAAAGTAAATTAGAAAATAAAGTATCTAACTTTTGTATTGTTCTAAAAATACACCTGCCAAACACTTGTGAAAAATGCCACTAGTATGAGTAAATTGTCTTATGAATCACTAGTTTTTACTTGGAATTTTACAGAAGTCTCACGGAGCTGAAAACTAATTTCTCCTTTGACAGAGAAAATGCCATTCACCATCACCTTTGTACTTTTCAGCACTCCTACAACTGCAAAAATGATGTGATCAGTATTTTCTCTGATTTACAGTTTTTTCACTGTAACATGTTTAAGTGATACGACGTAGTATCTGTCCTTGGAGAACATGCTGTTTAGCTCCCAGCAGCTTTCATTGGCAGATACCATGAAGGAGTAGGCATGTGCCCAGGCAATCTGTGTAACTAAAAAGAAAAGAATTGGGCAACTTCAGCAGGTAATTCATCCCACCCACATTGATACCTCTCAGATGACAGGTTTTGTCATCTCAAGGTATCTACTTCTATCCATATAACACAAATGAAGACTGGGCAACTATTTTAGACCTATTGTCTAACTTTTCAAGACTGAAGTTAGGAGGAATCCTTCTTTATTGCATGACAGAAATAGGGAGAGAAAATTAAAAAAAAAAATGAAGGGCAGTAGAGTAGTAACACTTCAGTGCAAGAACAAGTAAGAAAAGAATTACAGATAATGGGGGGAAGAGAGAAAAGAATACACCGACTGACAAAAAAAAAACCAACAAAAAACCCCAGTGTTAAGATAATATCAGAATTAAAGGATTAAAGGTAATAAAAATATTGAAAAATCACAGGAAGTTAAGACAGACATAGACAATGGAAGAAAAGACTTGGGATACTCACATAGCGCTCAAATGACATAAAGGTAAAATCTAAACTTCAAAAGAACAGCTTCTGGGCTCTGCGATATGTAGGAATCAATACTACTAGTGAAACTTTATGAAAATTCCTATGTAAATAAAAGCAAAAGGGCACTAGACTACTTAGCAGGAAAGCTTACGCAAGACTGGTCTATAGGTGATGGTTTGGGAGAGATGCAGGACCAGATTTACTAATGAGGAGATGAATGTACAAAAGATAGCTCAAAGAGATCATCTGTTGCAGGTTAAATGTATAGGTGAAAGAACCCGAGCAATGATGGTAAATCAAGGAGCATCCAGAATGGGGATGGCTTACTGAAGAGGGAACGTGTAGCTCATAATTGAGCAGTTTTCTTTGTTACAATCCTCAGACATTGATATGCTATAAGGCTAAAAGGAAATGCTGATCTAACTTCCTGTGTAACAGTCCCGTAACATATCAATTGTTATTCCATCATATATAAATGATTAATCGTTTCTGAATTTGATGAGCAACTGTTTGATTTTTAAGTTTTCTGCAGTGCAACACACATTTGGGGTTATTCCAATAAATACCTTATCCTTTTTAAAATTTTAGTGTAGTATCTACAAAAATCTAGGGATGGGTGTCTTTACTTTCTAGTAGCATATGTGCCAACCAAGTCGTTAGGTTGAACCTAACTCTCTTAGTATAAGAGATCCGTGATTCAACTACAACATTACACTGCATTTCAGTTCATTTTAACTAGATATTAATTAGTAACAAAATCTTTAGAGTAAATATTTGAATAAGGTGAAGTATGAAAAGTTTTTAAAAGGCATTTTTAAAGGACATACCTGGTTTTCTGCTGTTCAGTACTTTCCTAACATAGGTCCCTCTCCAGATGGCTTGAAGTTTAAGAGTTGCTGCTGCTTCTTCTGAAGTGGGAATTTGGCTCTGCCAACTACCAAGGGGATTCTTCAGACAACTCTCTGAAAGAAGGAGACGAGAATGAGCAACATCAATAAGGCTGGAAGTCCTGTAGCTGTCTGCAATGAAGAAAAAAACCCACAAAAAACAAACCACAAAACACGAGCACTATATACCAGAAACAGAGTGATTTCTGCATAAAACTTCCACTTATGATAAAAACATCACTTTCAAATTTTTTTATCATGATAAAATTAGGCAAAATATACTCCGTAATTACACAAAGTCAGAATGCAACTACTATGCTAATTCCAAATACCAAATAATTGAATTCTTACTTCTCTTTACAGACAGATATTGCAGTGCATTTTTTAAAATCAGGTCTCCAAATGTAATTTCAAAACATGCTTCCAAACATGAGCCAACAGGATTTGTTACATTAAAGCCTAACTCTGAATACAGCTTAAAAGAGCTTCACAAGATTTTAAGACTCTCAATCTAGTCCTTTTATTAAGTAATAATTTAAACACCAGTGTTGTTCAAAACGTTGTATTCAACCTTTGCTAAGGAGCCATAGAATAAAGGTAAGATCTGAAATAAAATGAGAGTTTATTCATCTGACTGTAACTTTCTGTTATCAAGATGTTTTGGAGTGGAACAGGAATCAGTAGGTTCTGACAGGTTAGTAATGAGCTCATTGAAGGCATCCTTGCCTAGAATTAGCATCCTGGCAGCCATCAGCAACAGGGGGTAGGAGGAGGGTGTGGAAGCAGCACTACAAGAAGCCAGTGCCAGGAAGCCAGTTCAGAACTGCACAGATACAGAGATACAGAACAGGGGCAGTGAGTATGACAGGAACAAAACGGTGCTCCAAAAGTAAGTACCAACAAACAAAAGGAGAAAAGTAAGAAATCTGCTGGAATAACTCAGACAGCATTGCAAACTAGCTTAAGAAAAGTTATTGCTGTGATCAGCCAGGAGATAACACATTTCAATCTAATCTCTTTAACTGACTTTTATTTAATGTGGCTGTGCTCCTAACCATCATTCCTCATTATTGTCTCATTTCCAAACCAGAAAACCTCTTTAATGCTTAGTGACTCTGAAATGTTACACGAGACCACTTTAACAGACAACAGATTAGAACTCAACAATATGAATGGCACAACCACTTTTATAAAACAGAAGTGTATAATAACAGAATAATATAGGCTGGAGGGGACCACTGAAGGTCATCTGGTCCAATGCCGCATCCAAGATCAAGTTGCTCATGTTCTTGAATAAATATTCAGTCCTTTTTTTAGCATCTTCAGGGATGTAGACACCACAAACATGCTAGGCAATTTCTTGCTCTTTTTGGCTAGCCTTATGGTGAAAACTGTTTTCTTTACATCCAACTGAAATATAACACGTTCCAAGGTATGTCCTGTACTGTTCCTCTATGAAAAGGGTCTGGCTCCTATCTTCTACCATTTATTCATTTAAGTAACACATATTTCAAAATGGATGTCCCATCTACAAGCCTGTCTATTTTATAATTAAATAACCTAGTGTAAAAAATGCCTTTTGACCCCTCTAATTCATTTTTTTAAGGAAAGAAAATAGACTTCTATTTTCAGCAGGTGTTTCAGCTCAGACGAATCGCCTCTGCTGCAAAGCCCACATTCCCCATATAAGGCAAAATACTCTATTATACAATAAAAGTTGTATACTTTTTATAACTAGTAAGGAGACCCTAACACTGAATCTGAATCAATGATGTACAAAACTATGACTACACCTAATGTTACTTCTGGTTTATCTAAACATCTCTTGTTCCTGTTACTTCTTAATCAATGATCAGGTAATGGACAACTTCCCCAAGAAAGTGCCCAACTGGTTAACGACACTGCCACCTGCACTTCGTTTCAGACAGGGAAGCATGCAATTTAGTAGTGCCAGGTTGTGTGTCACTGCCAATAGGCTCTCCTCTTAAGTCACATGAAAACCTTGTAATAGTTGCAGAAAAATTTTAACTGCATAATGGGATTACATAGGGGCATGATGAGTCAGATTAGCTTGTTGAATGAACAACTTTATTTTTTTTCCCCTTGGCTTAGCTTCCCGTGAAAACAGCAAGTGGATCTGATTCCCTAGCACCCATGCGACTGCTCATGGTAGGAGTACCTGATCTGGGATGAGAGGGGGAGAAGGACAGGACTTTAGCAGTAGCATTGGGTGAAGCTGCACTTTAAGGTCTACAAAGATCAAATTGTGATCCGCATTTGGCTTATACTGTATTTCAGTGTTTGCACTGCAGACAACTACATGCACAATATCCAGAGAACTGTGAATTGCCTATAAGCAGACTCTTAGGCTCCAGAAGTGACTAAAATTGACTTAGATGTAATGATTCTATTTCTTTCTTATTATTGGGTTATTTTTCTGCCAACTTAGCAGGCTAAATCAGCCTAGCATAAGCCTTGATCAGTTCTGGAGTTGTAGGAATGTGAGGAGATAATACTGCCACAGCCTACAGTTACACTAGTTTAAGCTGCTGTGGAACCCCTGCTTCAGCTTCACTTGGAGCTGGGAGGGAGAATAAGTACTTACAGCTGTATTCAGTAATTACAGATGAGTCTTACTTTTCTATTGTAAAAGAATTTATTCAAAGACAGAGGAACTGAAAGGGCTCGCATTTCTAAAAGCTGAAAATCATAGTGCTATGAGCACTTATAACAGCATTTATGGTTTTGTATGCTACTATTGATTACAGATTACCTGTACCTGTTCAGATCTAGCCCAACAGGTGTCTCTTGTACGTGTGGCCTTCATACGAGACCAGGCTGATGAATTCAAATTCCAGCTCACCTGTCACTGAAGACCCCATTACTCTCTCAGCACAGGGCTGTTGAATGCTGACAGGGGAATACACACAGTGTTGGCTTGGTGTTGCCCTATGAACAAACTGAAAAGTATATCCACTGGGGATGTCAAGTGGACTCCATAATCAGAAATAAATATGTATGTCACTAGAAATAATGTATTTCATTGTGAGGCTAAAGAATATATGTATACACAGTCATTTAGGTAAATTGTTTCTGATTATACAAATTTAATAATTTGGATGCATGGAAATGTCAGTGTCACACAGAAATGTATTTATTCATAGAAACTGTCAAAAATGATCCCAGATCAGGCTGAAAACTAGAAATGCTGAATGTTTTGTGAAATTATATGTTCCTAAAGATTTAATTCCTTTTTTCTTCTTTTTAATACAATACCCTAAAACAAAAATATTTTTCTTTGTAACATACAAGTCAAAATAATGAGCTTAAAAATAAATATTCCAATCTTTAACGTTTTTTTTGACTTAATGTTTCTTAATATTTTGACTTATATACAGAGAAGTATCTTACTGCGAAATGTTTTAAATGAACAAATATTAACTAGAGGATGCTTCGAATTTGACATTATGACTGAAAACTTATTCTTCAAATATTTTTGACATTTCTTACTCATTAGTCAGAAGATACCCTGCTAATAATAAACCTGAAGTTCTCAAAGCAGCCTAGCAAGACTTTGTTCACCATAAAATCAGCTGCAGTTTTCTTGTAACAGTGTGGATGCATCTACTGGAAGCAAAGTAACATAATGCTTCCCCCCACCCCCACCCCAAAGAGCTATTTTACATATATTGGAGAGGAACTTTAAATATTCAACCAAATAGTAGCAAATTTTCCCTCACCCCTTAGTGGAATTCAAGTTCAAATCCAAAGTGCAAGAAAAAACAAATATCCAGAATTATCTCCCCAGTCACACAGAACTATATCATCACTGCTCTTAACCTATGTTTCTGGAAGAGAGAGAAGTTTGTTCTTGAAAAGAACAGGGCAGGAAAAGGAATTCTCAAATATGGTTTACAGAGATAAAATAAGCTTACAGCTCACAACTTGACTTCTAGATAAGACATTTCGGAAGGTTTTAACAGAACTGCACACAAAAGTCACTCTACTTCCAACTTTGAAGTTGGAATTTATCCATGAGAAAGAAATGTACCCTTTGAATTGTGCCTAAATGACTCTCAAGTGCCTGAGACTCTTTAAAATCAGTGCCACAGACCTCCAATGAGTTAATGAACTGAGTTGGCTCACTGTTAGGCACAGTGAAATGAGGACAAGCTAAACAGAGGAAATGTTCAAAACAGAGCAGGCAAACAGTATTGATCTGTCAAGAACACGTCCCCTCATCCTGTATATGCTTTCTTTCCCAGGAAGCATCACATACCTCTGCAAATTCAGCATCTCATGACTCCCCAGAGTTCTGCAAGGTCCCTTGATCTATTGTCTTCCCAGAAGACCGTAGAAGAGCCATGCCATGGAGAAGCACTCAGCTTCAGAAACTTCCATCTTTTTGCCATGTTTGCATGGTCTTCCACTTGCTTCTCATGGTTCATGTGCTAATTGCTCCATAAGATGGATGTTATTTGGCAGACAAATAAAGGTCATTAGATCATGTTTGGGGTGCTTTATCAGAAATTCTACCAGGCATGATTGCTAACTGCAGTACATCACAATACCCTTGCCCTCAGTAAATCTTCAGATGAATTCAGCACACACTGCAAAATGAATATGCTAACATAAAATCAAGGTGGCACTTATGAAAAGTTCCGATTTGACCTAATCTACTCTCAGACACAGATGACAAGGAGATTTCATTCATCTGTTACAGTAATTTGATGACTGTTAAATTCCAAAGGGTAATAATTCAAGTCTTGGCAAGATCTGGGCAACTAACCTGACAATGCATAAGTACCAACGTAGGCCAGGCAAAGCAGGTGATGTCAGTCTTTCTAGGCTTTCCTATAATGCATTTTTCACCTGTTTTCACCTGCCATCTACCTATTTTTCTTGACGCTTCATTTGATTTACGCTGTTTTGAATGCAGCTGTCTCCATTTCTTCAGTGTTCAGGGATGGGACCGGAACAAAAGCATACATTTATTTCAATGCAACCTTTATTAAGTAGGGCAAAACAGATATCCAAGGTCAATAAAGCTAAAGCAGAACAATTCACTGTCCAGTTTGATAGGAATCTCTTGTAAGATCAAGATTTTTTTAAGTCTGGAAAAGCAACTAAATTAAAAAGAGATATTGGACACTGGAGGAAATCGAACTGAAACAGAGCCTTCCTCATTCATGCATTTATTCTACCTTTCTGATTCATTCCTCAAATACTAAAAAATATTCTGCCACAGTGGATCTCATAATCCAGTAATATATAGGAGATCTTTGCTATAACTTATCAACTGTGCTAATTATTCAAATCTAATTAAAAAACATCTTTTCTCCTATTGCTGACAAGTATTTAAGGTTTTTTGGGGGAATACAGAAATCAGTAGCACAGTCATATTGAAAAATGTGACAGGTGGTGTGGACTTCCAGTGGCGTGACAAATGTCAACACGCTGACCCTTATACCCTTGCCATAGGATACGATTCTGTGAAAAATACAGCGAGTTCTGCAATCATTCTGGCTGATCCTTTATCTCCAATGTGTCACGGATGAATAACCTTCAAAAAAGAGGGGATTTGGAAGAAAGTACTCATTAAAGAGTGAGACACAAGTATATGCGCTTTCTTAAGGAACAAGAGTATTACATCATTTTGTCAGTAAAGCTATTTGTGTGAATTTTAATGAAGTTCTTTTATATCAATTTTTTGAAAAAAGCTGACTAATGAAGTTAATATCATTTTGATTGACCAAGGAGAAAGACTTTATACTGTAAGTTCATAATAGTAGAAGGAAAAGCTAAGTCACCCTGAATGGACTTCAAATGCTGATGATGTACTTCCTGCCAATTTTTCAGATAAATTCTTTTCCTGTAATAATGTGAAATCATATACATAAAACTTCTATTAACAAATTAAAATACTAATAGATATTAAGAGATTAATAAGTTACTTAAGCTGCAAAATAAGACTCTTTAAAGAGCTATATATTTGGTTGCCAGGCAAACTTAATTCTAACTGCTTATGACTCCAGCCTACACGCAAAATGAGGCAAAGAATCTGTGGGATGAGAATTATCCCTGCATATAATAAATCTGCCTTGCAGTGGCTCCCCCCCCAATACCTTTGGATATACAGCATACCCTTATCACAGGCCGGAGAAGAGGTTGATGGTGCTGTAGCTAGTTTCCCACTACGTGTATGTGACTAGCCACCTAACTAGGTAGCAAACATGATTATTGCCAAATAATAGGCTTAAAAAGCAAGCTAACAAGCAAGCAAGTAAAACCCAAAATACCTGCCAAACAAAATCCCTCAACCCACCACTACGAAATAGTTTACTTTCAAAGGCACTAATCTGAGTCTTTCTTCACCCTCATTTTGTGAACAATATATGCATGTAAGGTTTTTTCAGCAGGTACTTTGAACAAAAGCCATGATCGGGTGAAAAAAGCATCTGTAGAGATGCTTGTTAATGATTGTCAATACAGACAACTGCAGGTAAAGGAAGACAAAAGGCAATTTTACGTATTTGAAGTCATTAGCAATACCAATACAGTACCTGAAGACACAATGTCATCCTCAGAAACCTCAGTGTTGTCAAAATCCAGAGTGAAGGACCTGAATGCAAATTTACAGCTGTAGGGAGCCTTCTTGCCCAATACATTTTTGATCAAACACCAAAATACACTATTGAAAACCTAAAATCAAAAAGAGGAAAAGCACTCACATAATGATTAATTTTTAAAAGCTGATTTATATTGTTTCTCGTTATTGTTTAAAAAAATTCTTAGCTCTTTTTTCACGTAAAAATGAAGTCTTCCTATACGTAACAAATATACTACTTCCTACTATAACAAATATAGTATGTGAAAACTAGTCCCAACTTTAAAACTACAATGCTTCACACCAGCAATCAAGGGAAAACCTGTTTCATGCCTGGCTTATTAAATGTAGGACTGATTCTGCATCGTAAGTTTTTATCATCCAAAAATATCTTAGTTTTTGTGAAGTAAGTTGATGGTCTCATACCAGAGCACAGAAGAACACACTGTAATCACCATCACGACACTGGCATTCTAATTAAAGGTTTCAGAACAGAGACCATGCTTACTGAATTAGCAGGTGGCACCACAGGGAAAAGTAGAAATATACTGATGGTCAAGAGGGGAAAATTTGGTGTCCTGTTTATACAACTAAATGGATAGCTCTATTGTCATTCTGGACATATTGATGATCTTTAAAGAGCAGGAAACCAGTGTCTTTTCTTCTTACAATAGATGGATATTTTAGAGTTTTTCAGAGCTTGTTTCAAAATTTGAAGTAAAGAACAGAAACAACTTACTGGAAAGACAATTTTTCTCTGTAATTGTCCTTTTTGTCCTTTTTTTAAATTATTTTTCTGCTTTTGGAAATTTTTTATCCTAAATTATATTTTTGAATATTAATAAACACTTCTATTTTGAAAGACTTAAGAATGGTGAAGAAAAAATCTACTTTAGTACATTTTTATGTTCGGAATAATTTTCGCTGTTTGTATTAGATACATAATTTCCATATTTTTATTCTTAAATCTCTGTCGGCTCAGTGTCTCCCATTTATCTAATTTATGGGGTTTTTTATTCCTTTGTAACTATACATTGGTCTTCTAAGAGATGGAGAGAGGAAGAGATATGTATGTTCATGCCTACTGAATTTATTGTAACATCGCTAAGTTTTACATGTGTTTCATATGAGCACATGTTTAAAATTTGTATTTTCATAGAATGGTTTGGGTTGGCAGGGAACTTAAAGATCATCTAGTTCCAACCATCCTGCCATGGATGCTGTTGCTCCAACAGCTCCATGTCCTTCTTATGTTGAGGACACCAGAACTGGACACAATACTCCAAGTGAGGTCTCATGAGAGCAGAGTAGAGGGGCAGGATCACCTCCTTTGATCTGCTGGTCATGCTCCTTTTGATACAGCCCAGGATACAGTTGGCTTTCTGGGCCGCAAGCGCACACTAAAGCCTGCTCATGTTCAGTTTCTCATCAACCAACACCTCCACATCCTTCTCCGCAGGGCTGCTCTGAATCTCTTCTCTGCCCAACCTGTAGCTGTGCCTGGGATTGCCCAGACCCAGGTGTAGGACCTTGCACTTGGCTTAGTTAAACTTCATGAGGTTGGCATTGGCCACCTCTCAAGCATGTCAAGGTGCCTCTGGATGGCATCCCTTCCCTCCAGCATATCAACCGAACCACGTAACTTAGTGTCGTTGGCAAACTTGCTGAGGGCGCACTCAATCCCACTGTCCATGTCACCAACAAAGATGCTGAACAACATCAGTCCCAACACTGACCCCTGAGGGACACCACTCGTTACTGCTTTCCAACTGGACATTGACCTGTTGACCACAACTTTGTGTGCGGCCATCCAGCCAGTTCTTTATCCACTGAGTGGTCCAT